GTGTGTGTGTGTGTGTGTGTGTGTGTGTGTGTGTGTGTGTGTGTGTGTGTGTGGTGACCTATAGGGATGAAGAGAGGGTGGACATGTGAAGGTTTCTGGGATGATGTTTCGCCGCCGAGAGAAACTCTGAACTTCTTGCTGCAGCCTGGCAGGAAGTGAGAGAAACCAGGGTTGTCAAAATGTGATCAGGATCAAATAAATTAGACACTAATGAAAAAAGAAATCTATAATTTAAACAAGCAGATGTCAAACATACGGACATTTATGAACTAAAACCAAGGTGTAGATCACTTCCTGTTTGTCTTGTAGRGTCTGGCTGTAGCAAACACACATGCTTCCTGAAAACAAACCAAAAGATACAAATGTTAGGAGTTAAACAACAGATTATAAATAATCAATATCAGTAACAATTAGATCATAACTAACATTACTGACATCTGGTCAGACTTCATTTTAAAATTTATAATTCTTGACCCGTTCCTTTATTTCTTTATATTTCGCTTCCAAGGAGCCAATTTTTCTGTAATCTTAAATATTCAAAAGTCTTTTGAGTCTTCACAAGGTCTTTTAACATTTTGCATTGGCTTTTGGAAGATCTTTAAAAAATAAATATTTAATCTAATCTTTGTACTGGAACATGTTCAGAAGAATAAAAATAGCTCATAACTCAAGGGATGAGTCAGCGTGGTGTCTGCAGATAAACTAATCTTTGGGCATTTTAGAACTAACTCAGTGCTAAAATTTACATGTTTGCAAATAAGAAGCTGTTACATCATATAAATGTCTGCTTTGCTTAAAGCAAAATTTAAAGAAATAAGTAGCTCAAGATTTTTGCACGTTGCGTATATTAAATCACAAATCATCCTGTATAAATAGAGTATAAAAAAATCACTAAAACCCAAAAAGAGACCAAAAAACCCCACAAATTTTGACTTATTTTTCAGATTTATCCATTATTAGGTAAAAAAATACAAGATTTGAGTGTGAAATTTTAAATCAAGTAAAAAAAATTCTGATTAGTTCTGCAGAAAAGACATTTTTTCTCCTCTTAACCCATTTTTTAACCCCGATTCAGTGTTCACTTCAATTTGATTAAAAATTCAAATAAAAAGCTAAATCATTGACGCCGACTGAGACTTACCCTCTTGTTTCGCAGAGACAAAAACAAACAAAACAAAYCAAACTGAATATAATTAGTTTTATAAGCAGGATTAAATATGTGTGAACCAGATGAGATGTTTACATACCGATTCGGTGTGTGAACACCTGCATCCGGACAAGATCTGTGTCTGGATTTTCAACATTAAAGTGGTCAAAACCCAGATTTACAAACCTGTTGGACAGGAAAAACAAAAAAATATATATAATGTAGTTATTTATACAGTAAAGTCAAATTAAGTTTTATATTTCAGGACATAATATCAGGACTTTCTTCCCTTAATTATACATTAATTAAACTGACTTTTTAAAGTGTTTGAGGTCATTTTAATTTGGAYAATATGGATTGTTTTTGTACTGTAGTGTTATTGATCGCCTTACTTGACGGTGTGGAAAGAATTGYCAGGCAGCTCTAAAGGGAGCTCCAACTGGACACAAAGCAAAATTTTACCAAACAATAAAAAAAAGTGATTATGACACGACGATAAGCCGTTCGGTTAGCTTACCACGGTCTCAAAGTTGCGGTTCGGGTGGAACTGAACACACCGCAGCAGGAACTTGTCCTGCGGGGGACGTTAACCCTGTCACCCACAGCCACATGAACATGAATGAACATGGACGAYGTTGTGTGTCTGCAGCTACCTTCAGCGTGAGGCAGTAGAGCCTCTGCGCGTGTCCGTCCCACTGGGCCCAGCAGAAATCCTCCACGACCCGCTCGGCGGTTTTGGCCAAGCGCTCGGGATTCGCCATCACCTGGCGCACGCAAACACAATTTGGATTCAGCCTCGCGGACACGCTGAATTTTTAATGCGCAGCTCCTCGGGAGGAGAACTCGCTCAGGATACAGAGGCTGAGGCTGGAAGCAGCTTTGCTCTGAGGTTATGAAAACACCCCGGCAACTGTTTTACTAACTAATTACTGGACGTGTTGCTCTTTGAGGGGTCCTGAAAATAACTCACCACTCTATAACCTTCCTGTTTGCTCAGCAGCACGTGGTACAGATCCACATCTGGAACACAAATAAGGTGAATTATTTTAACGTCAGCATCCTCAATAAGCAGAGAACCAGATGGAGGACTTTCAAACTAAAARCACTTTATGATGTTAAAAAACTGATTTGAAGCCATTTAAGCCAACCCTTATAAAATATTTTACTCACCATCTTGTGCAAAATTTATGAGAGCTATTAGTTTTTGAATTATGTATTGTAAATGACTCTCAGCTACCATCATTCAAATTTTTATCTTAATCTCTATAAAACTGACTGCGTTGGAGCCATTTTTGTGTTTGATAAAGTTGATTAGCTGTGGCGGCCATCTTGAATTGGGTTAACTCCAAATGTTAACAGGTTTTAGATTTATATCCATTTATTAAATTCTGAAAGTTATAAATAAATTGTTTTAGTTGTTCATGAGATATTTTGCTAACAGATAGACAGCATTGAGTCTTAACAGTTATTACCCAGTTTTTAGGCAAAGATGCTGCATAATATGTTGTGCTTGAATTTTATGTTGTAAATGGCTTTCAGCTACTACCACTCAAATTTTCATCTTAATCTCTATAAAATTGACTGCGTTGGAGCCGTTTTTGTGTTTGCAAAATTTGATTAGCTGTGGCGGCCATCTTTTATTAGGTTGACCCCAAATGGTAATGAGTTTTAGATGTATATCCAGGTATTAAGTTTTGAAAGTTACAAATAAATCAGTTCAGTGGTTCATTAAAAATTTTGCTAACAGYCAGACCAAAGAAACAAAAACATTATCACCCTTTTTCGCCTTTGATGTCGAGTGCTTAAAAACACTTACATCCATCTTCAGTCAGCACCAGCAAATGGCTCTTCAGCACTGATCTTCTGTCAGCTTCTTGATGGAGAAACTAAATAAATAAATAAATAAATAAATAAATAAATAAATAAATAAATAAATAAATAAAGCAGAGACACCCGTAAATGAGCTGCTTCCAACATCAAACATGAGCTAGGAAAAAAACGGAAAAAAAAAAAAAGAGCCAAAAGCAGTAATTATGCAAGCGGACTGCTGATATTTAAATTACTGGCATTTGATGATTTAAAAACAGTACTTGGAACCGTAGCAGATAAATAAACTGCTGCTTTGTCTGGAAAACAGTCCCACATTTGGCCTGAGAGWGGCCTCCTGCTGAGACTCTCAGCACACAGCTTTACACTGACCGAAGTGCTCACATCAAAGAGGAAAAAGTGGATTTTTCTCTTTTTAACGCTTCTACAAAAAAATAAAAAACAACAGAAAATCATATGATTGTGTAAAGAGAAAGGCCTGAGTGGTGCTGGTGTTTTGGTGAGATTTGTCAAAAATGTTGGAAAAAGGTTGAAACTGTTCTTGTACAAAACTAACAGTTTAGACATCTTAAAGTCTTTTTGGCAACATTTGAATAAACAAAACAACACAAAGAGCAAAAATCTACCTGCACTTTGACCCTGCAGTCCACCGCCTTGAGGACTTGAGTGTTGTTTATGGGATGAATCTCAATCAGGAGAGTCAGACACTTTGATACTACACACACACATAGTGACAGGATGGAGACTTTGTTTCAAATAATAAATTGTTTGTAAATGTTAGATTTTAAAATGTTTAAAGAAGCTAAAAATTATAGATGTTACTTGGTTTGAGACGCTCCTGTCCTCTGGTGTTTTGTGCCAAGCTGACAGCTGCAAAGATAAAAGCTTTTTAGCTGTTTTCATGTATGCTAGAAAACATTTAATACTGTCAAATGGAAAGTGGGAGAACAGCACCACCTGCTGGTTGCTTTACAGTTATTGAAGGATCATACATATTTACACTTTTGGTCAAATGTTTGGAGAATGAAACAAGTCTTGTTTTTTTTTTCCAAAAAGTTTGCTGCTTGACTGTTTTATTTTGTTTTTGTTAAATTTATTTTTTTTTTGTGTGTGTGATAAATTAAAATATAACTACAAGCAAACCATACGTTTAGCAGCTTTTATTGTTTGGATGCTGATTCAGTATTTACACCATTGTTTTCTTTTTTTTCTTATTTTTCTCTGTACTTTGTAATCTAACTACTTCTGCGTACTTTGTGCTTTTCAGCAACTTATTTATGAAAACGTTAAGCTCTTGCAGGAGATGTCATGTTTATACTTTACAAAATGTTTAACTTTATCTAGAAATATTTATTCCTTAGAAATACAAGATGTTCTCAAAGGCTTCAAAAACATTGTATTATTTGAAACTGGCTTTAAAATGGTCACTCTATTTTTGTCTTTTTAGGCTATTTTTAAATGGTTTAAATTAACTACTTTTAGCTAATGTTCTTTTTTAGCTAGTTTTTTTATTTTAGCTTGTAATGATAGTCAACTCTCACATTGCCTTCTGCTACTTTTAACTATCACATTGAAACTAGAACAAGTAGCTAGCCTTATGATATGTTTAGCTAGCTCTTTGCTACTTTTTAGCTTTTATCTACTGCATTGCTACTTTTTTAAGTTAACATTTAAGTATATTTAGCTTTATTTATAATAATGATACTTTTGATTATTAACTAGCATTTTGCTACATGTAGCTTTTAGCTGGTGTATTGATTCTTTTTGCTTTTAGGTAGTTTTGCTATTTTTAACAGGTGTTTTCTTACTTTCATTATTAACTAGCATGTTGTTACTTTAAGCTTAAAGCTAGTGATTTGCTATATTTGGCTTTAAGCTTTTTTTGTTTTTAGCTAGTGTATTAATTATTTTAACTTATAGCCTAGCATTTTGCTAGTTTAACCTTTAGTTTTTGTTCTACTTCTTTTAGCTTTTAGTTAATGGTTTGGTTAGCACCATCCTCATTTTAAAGCCTCCAGTCTGCTTGTAAAAAACATAAATATTGTAAAAGATCATAAAAACAGAGTTAGCCAACTTTAATGACAACATATATTTGTGTCATTCTCAATGAAATCCTCTCAAGATTTTGAATTTGACTAGACGTCAACAACCATAATTTGTTAACGTTTCTTGCAGATGGATCTTTTATGTATTTATTGTTTTTACAACAGAGGCTCACCTAACAGCGTCTCCTCCTTGTTCAGGGAGCAGCTGCTGACACACACCTGCTTGTCGAATGTGTAGAGGAGCTGTTGGAGGGAAACACACAGGCGTGAGTGTGGAGATGCAGCCACACATAGACATTTAAAATGAAGGGGCGTAACAGACACGTTACCTTGTTCTGTTTGGTATTAGAGTCGTATTTCCCTATCCTGGTGGTGCCCTTTGATCCCTGTTAGAAAATAAAAAAAGAAGTCAGCATCATCAGACGATTGTGGCAGATAATCCTAATATATTTCACGAAAATACTATCATTTTCCTACATCATGTGAAGACGGACATGTTTGACCTTTTTATCACTGCGACTAGACCTTCCTCCCTTCGCTCCGCCACATTTTTCAGGTCAGGTTTGAAAATGAAAGCTRTTTTCTGAAAACTAATGCACAGCCTAGGATGGATAGAAAAAAAAACCTTCTTTCCTATTCTACACACTCTTTAACCTCCGGAGGCTACACCATTAAACATTTATGTAGAGTCAAAGATCCACGCAGATTTTACTTTTTTTTTATTCTAGCAAGGATTCCAAAATGTGTCGTACTGATTCGTGGCCAGAATAAAGTAAATATTTAATGTGGTGATGTTGTGACGATGGAATAAAAAACAGCTTCTACTCATTAATCTAGGACGGCAACTTACAGCTTTTCATTCTCATCGAGGAAACGGTGGCGTTTTAGTCTTTTTGATCATCAAGGCATAATTGCAGGTGGTATCACAGAATCTTACACCATCCAGTAGCACTTTGAGTATGTGTTGAGAATGACTCTCAGCTACTACCACGCCAAATTTTAGCTTAACCCTTGTACAGTTGGCTGTGTTATAGCCATTTTTTTTGTTTATGTAAGGCTTATTAACTGTGGCAGCCACCTTGAATGGGCTCCACTCCAAAATATGGTATTTATCTGTATGACTATTTCCTGGAAATTCTATTTAAATCCATCCAGTGGTTCGTGAGATATTTTGCTAACACACATTAATTACCTTCCAAGAGTAAAGGATGCTGCCATCGCTCTCAGTGTTCAGGATACAAGTGTCCACGGCTTCAGAGTATTCTGCATGCAAAACATGATCATTATAAACATAAACGCCAGCGTAAATTTATCATTTTATCATAAACACACAAATAAAGAAGCTGAATTGGTCTTTTTCCATAGTTTCATCTTATTTCATGACCTGTTATAGTGGTTAGAGTCTATAATAATATWTTTTTTAAAAACACTGGGATGTTGAATGCAGATTCCACTACTTTTTTATGTATAATTTCCTCACATTTTCAGATGCATTTCTGAGAATGAGAACGCACAGTGGTGCAGCAGCGCCATCTGCTGGTAGATTTCTATACTTGCAAAAATAAATCACGGAAATTCTGATTTCTCTGAAACTGAAAGTGACTCACGCTGTCAGATAAACTTTATATTTCATTAAAAATGAGGTAACTTCCCTTTACATATCAAAATAAATGTATGAGAGCTGTTTCTTTATCTCGATTCGTTTAGCTAAGCCGGGTTTTTCATGTTAACAAAACTTGCTCCGTGAACACCTGAACGTCTCACCTTTCACTCTGCAGACCGACGCTTCTTTCCTGCGGATGTCCGACACCACATCGTTCTGCAGGTCGAACTGCAACTTTGGTTTCAGCATTTCTTTAAAAAWATATATCCCTTTGTTTGAACCACAGCTAGAGGTGTTTCATTAAACACGCAGCACCTTCTGGTTTCCCGTTCTGCTTTGACTTCATCATGTGACCGAAACGCTTTTTCCCCTCTGCTGAACATAACTAATAAAACTGGAGCAGCTATACAACATTTTAAACTAACGCCTACTTCCTCTTTTTTATTTATTTATTTATTTATTTATTTATTGATTTATTTATTTATTTATTTTTTTTTTTTTCCTATCGTTATGCGGAAATGGCGCGTTAACGCTTCCTTCCTCCGGGATCACAGGGCCAGGGAGGCTCGCTGCCATTGGCCGGGTAAGGAGTGCGTCCAGCCGGGTAGGAGTCTCTCACCGCCCCGGCTGGATGATGGAACTTCACATTGGTGTGTCACATCTGGATGTTGTTCCAGTGTCTACAGTAGTCTGATCTTCATAAATAACATGGATCTTAATGTGTTTGAATGGATATTCATCATTTTTACACACTTTTTGGTAGCTATGACTTGTTTATTCAAATTATAAGTAAAGAATATCGAATTGGTATTGCAAAGGGAGTTTTAAATAGCATATTAAATGACTAATTAAAACATTTTTCCCCATTATGAGTGTTAAATCTTTTACTCACAAGCTGAATCAGCAGCTTTTGGCCACCAGGACAGGTGTGTCAGCAAAATCTCACAAGCATGTTCACAACATGATGTGTCAGCTGAGGGAAGGACTGCTGTCATTCAGTCAGCTGAGATCCTTCAGGTTAAATTAAGGCTGTTTTAGCTCGCAACTAACTATTCAGCTGTTTTTATGCTTTTACATGTACTGCACCAATTTAAAAACTGTTTTATTTGTTACATTTGAATCTATCGTCCGACTTTTATTTTTTTTAATCATGTGCCAAATCAAAGTGTGGTGGTATGGACTGCCTTTTTAAAGAGTAACTTACCCCAAAATTAACTTTTTTAGCTGATAAACTGTCTAGAATGTGTCTAAAATGTTATATAGTACTGTTTCTGTGCTAATTT